AATAAACCTAATTAAAGGTCTTAACTTGGCTTGAAATAGGCCAGGGTGTAAGTGTCTATCGCCTATTTCCATCTCTAACTAAGGAGACTAATTAATTTAATTTAAGTCCCAACCAATTTCAAAATAAAATGAAGTCCCATGCATTTTTTTTTTGACAAATCTGACTTATAAATGAATTGACTTGAATACCCTTAATTAAATCAAATATCTAATTAAAATTTGGTAAACAAATTGAAAACTTATTAGTTGAAAATTGGTAGGCAACCTTGCAAATCCTTTGAACTCCAACCTATCATAGAAAACACATAGAAAAAGGGCTTGATCTGTTTTGTGGTTAATATTAAAACAAAACTAATTGTTTAAAATTTAAGCATTCTCATTAATTAATGCCAATTCACATAGTTATTGTTTTAAACAAGATTATATCTAGCAATTTCCCACTTGGATATCAATAATTAATTATAAGATACTTTTACATTCAATGCCAAAAGTAAGCAATTGTTTTATAAAATATAAAGTACATTCAAAATATTATCTTTTGACATTTTATACATTAAAATGGTAAACACTATTGTGAAATTGAAATTATTAAAAAATAAATAATTGCGATAAAATTTAAATTATAAAATTATAGTATTTATTAACTTTAAATAATTCATAAAAATAAAACACACATATCAAAATGTTTTATAACCAAAAAAACCTCTCACAAATTGCATTTTTATTTTTTTAAATTTATTTTTGAACACATATGGAGCTTTTCTTATAAAAAGAGCTCTTATGGAATAAAAGGATACCAGAACACTATCTCTAAAAGGCTCTCATATGCTACGATTTTATTTTTAAAGACCTATAGAAGCTTTTTTTCGGAAGAAAGAGCTCGTATAGGTAACAGGATAAGGGAGTTTTTTCTTTCTGAAAAGCTCCAGTTGCATTTTTTTTTTCTTTTTCTTTGAAAAGCTCACTTCGTTTTCTTTGGAAAGCTCACTTCATTTTCTTTGAAAAGATCTTTTCTCCCGCTCACTCCCTTCACTCCATTTTCTCCCTTCACTCCCGTTTCTCTCTTCATTTCTTGTTCAAACTCCTTCACTCGGCTTCTTTATTTCTTTGAATCCGGAGCTCCGCTCAGATTTGCATTTAGATCTTTATCTGCGTTCAGATCTACGTTCGTTCTTTCATCGTCGTCCACGGAGTCTAAGTTCGTCGGTTCAGATCTAGAGCTCTGTCATCCGTCGCGTGTTGAGTCTGGGTCTATCATCCGTGCATGCTAAGTCTAGGTGGTCGTCGTCCACACGTGCAGGTGCTCGAGTCTGGGTGTGCGTTCCGTCTGCGAGTCCGTTATTCGAGCTCCATCCAACGTAGATCCGTGTTCTAATATTGGATCTAGCAATTGGACAAGAGACATAAATAATAATGCTGTAATCTGCAATTGTGCTGTGCATACTTCATATAATCTCTGTCATGTTATCAAAAAGGTCTTTAATTTGTAGGATATACAGGTAGGATATTCAAACAATACTCAACTCTGTATCTTAACATATTGTCAATGATAATCAAATATATAATAATCACATAACTTTTCTATGGGCATGCGACTTATTTTTATATTAAATGTATTCTAAAATAGTATAACGACGTTGAAGACAAAATATAATAATCGTGATTTTTTTTTGGCAGAAGTAGTTTATGAAAGATTGAAATAATATATGCGTTCAAACTTCTAACAGACTATAAAATAGAAAAGACAACGAATCTTATAAAATGGTCAAAGGACATGACATTGTATCCATCAATCACATGCTTGCAGTTAGATTCTTCAACCATACAGCCTGACAAGTAGCCCCAAAGCATGCTATATATTCTGCCTTCATGGGCGAAGCAACTGTCTGTTTAACACTTTTTCATGAGATAGCATATCTTGCCATCATAAAAATTTCACTTTGTATCACATGTCACGGTACAATCATTTTAGCTGTAATAGATGTGCATAATTTTGACCTTGACTTTGTTGTTGACCTCGTTTGACATGTTTTTAAGCTTAATGATTTTCCAAGTTTCCCAAACATTATTTAACTCCGATTTTAAGTAATTGGAATCTCTTAGAACTTGATTTTCAATTTATATGATTTTGGCTTCCCAATTTTGAATGCATTTTCATACTTAGCCTTCTCTTTGGAAAATTTAACTATGGTCAATATTTTCTACGATGGTACGTACACTGTTAAAAGGATTACTTGGGTTTTATTTACCACGGTAAAGTCTATTTAGAGGCTAATTACATTGTTAAAATAAGGAGCATTACAAGGTGCACTGATAGCAATAGCTATATTTGGACATGTACACACTTGTGCTTACATCAGGCTACCAACAATGAAAGCACAAGGAGTTTTAGCCATTTCAGTGATGCTTTTATCATTTTTAGGGCATTGAAATTTAGATAGTGGATTGCCCTGCTAAGTAGGTGTAGGACTTGATACACAAGCTTCCACATTGAATTTCTTCAATGCTCACTCTATATAGATGTTTGAGACAAAGCAAGAACAAAGGATGCCTCACCAAGATCTTTCATGTTGAAGTATCTATGTTTCATCTTATTTAGAAAATCCATTGAGTTGTTGGCTCATAAGATATCATCTACATAGAGCACCAAGTTGACAAAATTGATTTGATCAAATTTTTGATAAATAGGATGATTAGATATATTTTCAATGAATTTTAAAGAAGTAATGACGTCATTAAATTTTAAATACTACTGTCTAGAAGCCTGTTTTGACCCATTAATAGATCAACATAGTTTGCAAACTAGGTGCTCTCTATTGAGTTCTACAAAACCATCCAGCAATTCAATATGCTCACACACATGGTTATGGCACATAGAGTTCATTTCTCCATCCATATTTCCTAACCACTTAGGAGTCAAGATTCTCCATTGCCTCTTGAAAGGTCATGAGATCCATCACATCAGCTTAAATAGATTCAAATTCCTACAAATAGGCCATGTATGTATTCATCTGGTATTGCAGGCCTTTGAACTCTTTCAGACTGTATCAACTCATCAATAGTTGGCTCATCTACTTCTTCAATCGGATGATTTGTATATACCTTAATAGGCTCATCAACATCATATCATTCACTAGATGATGTTGCTGATAAACGTAAGGTGGTGCTTTCATCATATATAACTCAATGACTCTAAGAGCAGGGCTCGTACTATGTCATTCTCATAATAAAATGTAGACAAGCTATGAAACATCAATACAGGTATAAGTATCGGATATAGTACGGCATGATATGCAGACACAGTAATTTTCAAAAAATTTTAAGATATGAGTACAGCTATATAAATAAACAAAAACAACAAACCTTTATCCCACTAGGTAGGGTCGGCTACATGGATTGCAAGACGCCATTGTGCTCTATCATTTATCAAGCTTTTAGGAATATTATTAATTAAGAGATCGCGTTCAACAATTTTTAAGAGTGTTCTTTTAGGCCTTCCTCTACCTCTCTTAATCGGACTCAAAGTTATATGTTTTACTTTTCTCACTGGTGCCTCCCTTAGTCTTCTTTGTACATTCCCAAACCATCTCAACCGATTTTATACCATTTTTTCCTTAATAAGTGCTACCCTCACTTTTTCGTGTACGTGCTCATTTCGAATTTTATCTTTACGTGTATGTCCACACATCCATCGTAACATTCTCATCTCTGCTACTCCAACTTTATGCTCTTGTTGTCTCGTTAGAGCCCAGCATTCACTACTATATAACATTGCCGATCTAATAGCAGTGCGATAAAACTTTCCTTTAAGTTTATTAGGCACCTTACGGTCACAAATAACTCTTTTAGCTTTTCTTCAATTAAACCACCTAGCTTGAATTCTATGTGAAATATCTCCACTGATTTCACCATCATTTTGAATAATGGCTCCCAAATATCTAAACTTTTTCACTTGAGGTATAATTTGATCTCCCAATTTCACTTTCAAATTATTGTCGAATAATCCTTTATCAAATTTACAATATAAATATTCCGTCTTACTTCTACTTAGACGAAAACCTTTCGACTCCAATGTCCTTCTCCATAACTCAAGTTTACAATTAACCTCTTCTCTTGTTTCTGCTATAAGAACTATTTCATCCGCGAAGAGCATACATTTCAGGATTTTCTCTTGAATATGTTCCGTCAAAACATTTAAAATTAAGTTGAACAAATAAGGACTCAAAGATGATCCCTGATGTAGTCCAATCTTTATAGGAAAATCCTTTGTTTGACCACTAGGTGTTCTTATACTAGTTTTTACCCCCTCATACATATCTTGTATGGCTTTAATATAAGCAATCCGTACTCCCTTTTTTTTCCAACGCTTTCCAAAGCACTTCTCTTGGTATACGGTCATAAGTTTTTTCCAAATCAATAAAAACTATGTGTAGATCTTTATCTTTACAACGATACTTTTTCATTAATTCCCTTAGTAGATAAATCACCTCTGTAGTTGATCTACCTAGCATAAAATCAAATTGATTCTTAGAAATACTTGTCTCCAATCTCAACCTGTGCTCAATTACTTTCTCCCACAATTTCGTTGTGTGGCTCATGAGTTTAATCCCTCAAGTACAGCTATATAAATAATTAAATATTAAATATTTTACTATAATATTTCTCTTGGTACAAATTTTTCACTGTACTTTTTATATATGTAGTTGTCACCTTGAGTATTGGAGTCTTTATTGGAGTATTATCGCCTATATTGTTGCATGATGAGCAATACTACAGAGAGACTTGGCAAATTTGTAAATATATATATATTTATATATTTGCCAAAATAACAAGTACTGATACAAAGAAAAAAGGCAGCCACTTTAGATACAAGGTTGATTTTCATTGGTACTATAGTTTTTTTTAATTTTTAATTTGGTACCTATATATATATATATATATATATATATTTAATTCCCTCCTTTAACTTTCCTTCGTTAAACACGTCACCCTTGACACTTTTTGAAATCCCTTGAGGGACTTACGAAATACAAATGGCGGCAACGTTGGACCTTGAAACTCAGGAACTTCGAAGGCAGCCTGATGTGATTTGGGATCATCGTTTATCGGAGAGCTTCGCCTTGATCTTCATTCAACATAAAGCAAGAGGGTGATTAGGGATCTCATTGCACCAACGAGAGTGGTTTTAGAAATTAGGGATTTGAGTTCTACAGAAAGCGATTGGGTGATTCAGTCATTGAGCTTTGGCTTTGAGTGATAGGGCGATTCGACTTTGTCTTCATGCAACAGGTTGATCTCGTTCATCAGAAAGAGGACCTATGATTCATGGATTAGGATTCAAATGGCTGCTTACTGCTTACTTCCCATAGGTTCATTCGAAATGCTTGCTTGCTTTGATTCTTCTGTTACAGAACATTCGATGCCTAAACTACATCTTTGTTCGAATAGCTGCTTTGAATTTGACAGGTTATAGTGTAATTTTATGAGCTTCATAGTTATTGTGTAAATTTATTTCAGTATAATAACAACTTGGTATATTTTGATAGGTTCACCCATTGAATTTTTCCTCTCTTGGAAATAGTTCCCTCTCTAGATGGGCCATAACCTCAGGCACATATTCTGATAATCTAATTTCATGTCTAACAAAATTGCTATGGTAGGTTGTGTGCCCATAGAACCCCCAAGGTTTTATTCTAAAATAAAGCAAGACTTAGTGGCAGCAATATGGTTTGGTGGAAGCACTGATCCTTGAAAAAGTACCAAGAAGAGAATGAGAGCATGAAGGAAGGGAAACAACATTTGAAAGAAAACAAAGCGTACTTGAAAGTAGAGAATGAGGGCATGGTGAAAGAGATTGAGAGGTTGAAGATAAATTTGTAGAGCTTAAAGATTGTGTTGTTTGTTAGTGGCTATCATGTATCTTTTTTTGTACTGAAACTAGTGGAATATAAAGTGGGTAGATAGACCACTATTGTTGTAATTTATGAAACTATTATTATGGAATAAAGATAAGTTTTGTTGCTAATCTCTTGTCAAGTTGTTCCAAAATACTGTTTCGGTTTGACTTGGTTTCTGGTTTCTTATATTCGTGACAGCAAAAGAAAGACAGCATTCTAAATAGTAAATGGCTCTGGATGGTATTTGTTTTTACTTTGCTGTTAATGAGTGGGATTTTTGTTGCTGTCCCTCTTCACATACAAAATGCGGTCCCAACATTATCATCTGTGTCTTTACAAACGTATAATATTGTGACAGCAAAAATACATTATGTTGCCAATAGTACGGGTCCTGTGACATCAAATTGCATAAATGACAGCAAGTTTAACAATATGACAATAGGATTTCCAATGCATTTTGAACATTACCAGCAGCTTTTGTGCAAAACCTGTAGGTAATGTGTGTGTGTGTTGGAGGTGTGGGGGGGGGGATCATATTAAGTGACAGCAACAAGAAAAAAAAAACAGAGAGAAAGAGAGAGAGACAAAAAGTGACAAAAGAGTTAGCAGCAAAGCTCAACTTGATTCCATAATAATGGTTCCATAAATTACAGTAAAAGTGTTCCATCTATCCACTTTATATCTCACTACTTTCAATACAAAAGATTCTAGCAAATAAAATGGTTCACCTACCTACTTCATTACATTCCACTACTTTCAAATATTCCTCATTAATCAAGAAAGTATAACAGAAATGGTGACACCCACATTTCACTACTTTCAAATACTCCTACACAATGAACAACACAATTTTTAAGCTCTTCCAATTTCTTTTCAACCTCTCAATCTCTTGCTTCATGATCTCATTTTCTTGTTTAATTTCAGGTGCTCTCTGTCTTCTTTCAAATGTTGTATCCCTTCCTTCATGAACTCATTTTGTTGCTCCAGATTCTGTTTCTCTTGCATCATCTGCATAATCTTCTTTAGCCAATCAAAATAGTTTCAACACCAAGGCTCCTACAAAATTTACCAATGAAACACACACACACACGCAGTGCCAATTCAAAACTCAAAACGAATGACAGTGTAAGAGTTCTTTTTGTTTGAGGGATTGGAGAAAATATTTTGAAGTTAAAAGGAACCATTTTTTAACTAGTCAAATTTGGGAAAAGGGGTGACGTACGAACTTTTCTTGCTTCAAATTATTGTGCATCTTTTCATGCTTTTGAGCAGAGCACAAGGGGCAAGGTAAAAACTTGCAGAAAGTAGCTAGTCAACTATGTGAATAATGCAATTACCTTATATTTGTATTTCACATTGTCACTTGATCAGGCAAGGGCCATAAAAAAAAAAAAACAATATATTTATGATTTATTTGGTAATCCTTCTTGATTTTGCTACAAGGTAACAGAGAAAATGATGCCTCTTGCATTTAGGAAAGCTTTGGGCTTAGGAAAAGGCAAAACCATACAATAAGACCATAATCTTTAAACAATTTTCAAATACTGAAGAAAACTGAACAACATTACTGGCAGTCAAAATGTACCTTCAATTATCAAATATGCAGTATAGATATTGAGTGTACAAGCTGCAAAATTACTATGTCAATCCACCCCAAATTGTCTACATCTAACATACAAGCTATTGAAGTGTGTTCTGTAGACAAATACTTAGTCATTCGAATCGGAGCAACCACCATAGCTATTGAAGTCAAATTTCAAGCTTATACCTTGCATTTTAAAAACAGAGGCAAAGCTCTTTTTGGTGTAAGCGTCTTCTCAGACGAAGCCTATTGCAGAATCCCTCTGTATGGTGTTCCAACCTGTTGCAGACAAAGCTGAATCGCTTTGGTGTATCACTTCTTGTTGAATGAAGATTGAGTCGAAGCTTGCATGCGTTCTATCTTATTCTGTCGAATCACCCTAATCAGATCAGGTTGTCTTCGAGCTCACGTGCCTTCCATCTCAAAGCTTCAGAGATAACGCTGTCTCCTCCCCTGTAAGCTCCTGCAACAATTTTCAATTGTAACGTGACTAACGGTAAAAACTTGAAGGAGGGAATAAAAAATTAAAAAAGAGTAGGTACCAACTTAAAAAATGAGAAAAATTATAAGTACCAACAAAATGGTTTTCCCAAGATATAAAAAAGGGAGCTGATCCTTGCTAGGGAAAGAAGCCGAGTTTTGCAAGTCACATTTACACTAAGTTGGAGTCGAGAGACAAACCAACAAATTCGGTTTCGGTGCTCATCAGAACACTACCGTTTTGCAGTTTTATCTTTTTTCTTTTTATAAACCACAAAATTATTATTATAATAAATAGATACTATAAAATTATTACTTTAATATTTAATAAATAAATAAATTTAACTTGTTAAAATTTGACTTGAATAATGTATATATAAATTTTGGTCTCAACAGTTTAGAAGTATACCACAAAAATTAGAATTGTAACAAAAAATATTTTATAAAATATTTTTTTATTTTATTGATTTTGCATAGTTGTCCATCTATGAGAGGTAATATCATTTAAAGCATAATTGAATATTAAATATAAATACTTCTCTTAACAAAAATTTAAATGTTGATCTATTATATTGTAACAAACTAAGCTCATTTTGCTTGACTTAGTCCCTATTTTAAACTCTTCAGATCACTTTTTTTTTTTTTAATATAGTTCTATACTGTTCAGAGAAAATTTTATATATGAATTGTTTAGGTCAAATTTTAACAAATTAACTTTATTTATTTCTTAAATATTAAAATAATAATTTTATAATATTTATTCATTATTATAATAATAACTTTGTGGTTTAAAAAGAAAAACGAAAAAAGCTAACACTGCAAAACAATAGTGTCTTGGTGTTGAGAACCGATGAGCACTAAAACATGATCCTAAACTCACTGTGGAGGAGACTGGCTGAGCGACGCAACTATGCTAGTTGACAGGACGAGTGACAAAATAGGGCAGAGAAGGTCAAACTGTCAAAGGCTCGAAGCCACAGGCAAGAGGGAAGATGACTTGAAAAATTATAATAGTGGGATGAGCTAACTGAGTTTTAGTCGATGCAGACTTGAAAACTTGAATATCACAATCAAACAAGGCAAGAAGACATGGGAGGCGTCAGCGAGTTGATCGGTGGTGCTGCTTTAGGAACGGTCGGCAAAATCTCCGATCAGATTCAAAGCCAAAGACAAGGACACGGAGCTGCTGTGTTAGCTCCCCCATTAAGAGATTGACACACCCATATCTTATCATAAATGGAGGTGATGAAATATTTGAATCCACTTAGGTGTAATATAGGAATGCAGATGTAAGCTAAGTATGATTCAGGTTCAAAATATTTTCAAACCTAGTTACCCCTTTTCTATGGTGAACTTAATCACAACTAAACATACTCGATTTGACTCGTACCATTTCCTATGGTAGGACTTATCAGCACCGTATGACTCAAGTGTGAGATTCGTAAGCATGGGTTCTATATGTGCCATATCTTCATTAGCAATGGTCAGGTACATGTTCAAGAACTCTTTCCACTTTTCATAATTCGTCCCATTGAAAGTTTTAACCACATATAGCTGCTGAAATATAGAAATTGAAATGCTGGAATTAAAAAAAAATTAATAATGCATGCACAGCATAATTATGAAAACAAGATTCCCAATAAGATTCAGCTCAGCAACTATACATAACAAGGTTGTAACACGGAAAACCCGCACGCGGGCCTGTCCCTCCTGTCTACACACACCAAACAGATATGGCCTTACACAAGGAGTCCACACAAGCATACTCTCCAATATTTCCATATATATCAAGAGGGTAAAAAGATAGAGAACATTAAAAGAGAAAAAAATGCTTCTTTCATATCCAAGGAGTTAAATGCTAAATTAATATTGATAATGTCACACCAAGAGGGTGTGTGTTCACCATCAATAATGCAATGCAATCCAAGAATACACTAATCAAGTATAACACAATTTCAAAAGAATACAAGAATTCCTTAGGAGTTAAATTTCTTAATTTTGGGCCTTAAAACTACTATAAAATAGGAATTAGAAAGCCAATGGGGATTTATTTTCGAGGCCTACACTTACCATTAGGAAGAGTGGTTCATCACCAAGACTAATCACATGGTATAAAATATATTGCAATTCCTTTTAGATCTTGATCTCCACAGGTAAAATATAATTTTTCATCGGATGAAAATTTTAAAATTCAAAATAAATATCTACAAGTCTGGAAAAAGACCTAAAATAAACAACAAAGGGATAATAAATTTTTTAGTCCCTTAAGTTTATCTAAATTATGAATTTAATCTCCTAAGTTTAATTTTTATCAATTTAATCTTTTAAGTTTATCTTACTTACCACCTTGGTCCTTATTCTTTAAATAGGAGATAATAATGTTAAAATCTATTGACATGAATAACGAAATATTAATGATAACAATGTAGATTAATAAAAAACACATGTAACTATTTAAGCACGAAAAAAAATACTCAAAATTTTTAAAAAAATAAAATGCAATAATTTGAGGAACTAGATTAATAAAAAATTAAACTTATTTAAAGGTTAATTTGTTCTCATTTAGCTATATATATATATATGTCAAATCATTAAAATACTTTACATGTTTGATTAATTTGAAAGTAAATTTATGTTTTAAAACTTAAAGCACTCACATGATAGTTTAAGAAGATGTAAGAAGCTAAATTGATAAAAATTAAAATTAAGAGATTAAATTAAAATTAAAAAGTCAACCGAAGTATATATGTAAACATTTTAAAAGCAATCAATAACTAGAACATTGTCTCACAGTATTCTCAAATAAGGATATCAATCAAAAGTGATGTTAAATTGTGAAAAAGGTTGAAATTAGTTATGATCTAGCGATCCCAAAGCAAATAGAATATCCCTTGTAAATCGAAACTAACATCGAATCGTCAAACTTTGCATGTTTTAAAATAAATAATAGTAAAATATATTGACGTCCCTATCATTTTGCTAAAATTATAAATATTTTTCCTTTTTTTTATATCAAAACCTACACTTTGATCCAATTTTTAACACCATTAGAAATATTTTATTAAA